CCCTCTTGAGCCTTCGGTGGTGTTAGGTTCGTTGCTATTGTTTTGGGTCACTGGCCACTGGCACTTGCGAGCCTATCACTGGACACATTTGATTGTTCGGGGGCGGGAGTGTACAACCCACTTCGTCCAAACACCTATCAGGGGCGGTTGGGTCTCCGGACCTTTCCCCTGATGGTGGGCGGGGTGGCAGGACGGCGACGCCCTTGGTCTAGGCGCACCGTCAAATGGGTGTGCACACGTCGTTCGGCGGTGGTTTCGGCCATGGTCGGGCGGGGTGTGCAGTCCCTGGGCGCCGGTCTCACTCGGCGGTGGTTTCGGCCATGGTCGGGCGGGGTGGGCGTCCTAAAACGACCCATCGAAACCAGAAGGTGGTAATAAGGGCCAACTTAGATGGGAGCGCGAAGTGAACAGGATAGGGAAGCTATGAAGAGGGCGAGAGCTTGGTAACGGAATGCGAGGTCCATGAACACGAAGCGTCTGGGGACACGAGCGCCACACAACAAGTTTCGGATTTTGGCTGCGCTGCCCGTGTTGGTGTTTCTACACCGCACGCTGACGATGGCGGGTTCCCCCGACCATCTGGGGGCGGCACAAGGAAGGGCTTGCCCCATCCATCTGCGCCAGGTCGCCGGTTTCCACCGAGTGGCCAGCCGCCCCCTGCCCCACGCGGCCGGGGAGAAACGTGTGGCGTGTTTTTGAGTGAAATTGTTTTGTGGGTGATGTTTCCGTGAATCTCGTCTCTCGGGCGCTCTCTTTAGGACGAACGTCTGGATCGTCACGCTCCCCCCGTGGGTGGGGTCCCCGGGGGCGGGGTCTCCCCTTCGGGCCTCCTGGGGCCTGGACACAGGGTGGAGCGTCCTACAGCCTGGCAGTTCTGGGCCTCTTGGCGCGTCGGCCCCCCAATAGGGGTCGGTATGACTAAATGCGTCAAGTGGGGCCACTGTGCGTGGTGCTCACCGCTGTTGCGGCCACCTCCATGGGGGACCGGGTCGGGCGCACCCCTTTCTCGATGTGCCTCCGCTATTGTGTTGCGCGCCTCGGGCGGTCGTTGTGTGGGCTGGTGCGGGTTTTGTTGCGGGGCTGTACACGCGATCGAGACGCGACGGTCTTCCCTCTTCCCATGGTTGCCCCCCCCCCTGCCACTCTCTGGTCGGGCTCCCCTCCCCCCCTCCCCTTCCCCCTCCTCGGGCCCCGTGGTTCTCGTCCTGGTTTCTTCGGTCTCCCTGGTTCCTCTTCTGGCCTCCTGGGCTCCTGCTCCCCGCGTCCCCCCCCCTGTGGGCAGACTGGAGAAGGGCGGCAGGGGGGCCAGCCGCTGTGGGCTTCCCCATCCTTCAGGTTGTACATTGAGGTTATACCGCCTGCTGGTCCGGGAGCCGCGCAGCGGCTACACCCCGGAGACGTGGACGTGGACGTGGAGGAGGAGGATGAAGAGGAGGAGGAGGAGGAGGAGGAGGAGGAGGAGGAGCAGGTGCAGGTACACAGGCCTCCACGTGTGGTCGCTCAGTTGCTGGGACTACGATCGTCGTCGTCGTCGTCGTCGTCGTCGTCGTCGTCGTCGTCGCATGTGCAGGTGCACAAGTGTCGAGCGGCCCGGCCGCACCTGGGACAACGTACTCTCCACCTTATCGTCACCCCCCTCCTCTCGACCCCACCCCATCCCATGATCTTAGTGGTGTTGTTGGGGCTCTGTCTTCTTCGGGCGTTCGGGGTGAGGGATCAAGGAGGGGAGGAGGAGGAGGGAGGAGGTACGGCTAACCCATGCCCCCTCGGGGGCGCCCCCTCTTGAGCCTTCGGTGGGGATAGGTTCGCTGGCTTTGGTGTTGCGTCTCTGGCTCGGGGTTCTGGCGGACCTATTTCCTGTCTCATTTCTTCGTTCGGGGGCGGGAGTGTACAACCCACCTCTTCCAACAACCTATCAGGGGCGGTTGCGTCTCCGGACCTTTCCCCTGAGGGTGGACGGGGAGGTAGGACGGCGACGCCCTTGGTCGAGGCGCACCGTCAACTGGGGGCGCACATGTCGTTCGGCGGTGGTCTCGGACATGGTCGGGCGGGGTGTGCGGTCCCTGGAGGCCTGTGTCGCTCGGCGGTGGCCATGGTCGGGCGGGGTGGGCACCCTGACATGACCCATCGACACCGGAAGGTGGTCATCGGAGCCTGCAGAGTAATGCGTGTGAAAGCACGCATGACGACGAGCTCCGGTTCTTCCTGGGTCGGCTTGCACATTGTGTGGCTGCGCTGCCAGTGTTCGTGTTTCTACACGGCACTCTGCCAAACGGCGGGTTCCCCCGACCGTTCGGGGGCGGCTTCGGGGTGGGTTCGGCCCTGCGCATCTGCCAGGCCACCGAGTTCCCCCGAGTGGCCGCCGCCCCCAGTGCCCCTCGCAGCCGGGGCCGTGCTTGCCGGGTTTGGGCTCGTGCCTTGGGGGCGTTTCGTCGTGCGTGGAAGACTTGGGGTAGGTGTGGCGTGGGCGTCTGTATTCACCATGCGACGCCGGAAGTTG